GAAAAGGGAAGCATGGGGTACCTTTTTATTGCCTAAGCTACATTTGTATTTCAGACAAGATTGAGTCTTTGCAAATGCAAACAAAGGGACCTACTTCCTATAGAACATAGGATGGAATAGTCTGAAATTTAGTAGTCTGAAATTTTCTGTGCTACACAAAGTCAATGTCATCCACACTGTCTTGTTTTTATTCAACATACTTTGCAATATGATCTGCTACAGATCCTTGTGTATAAGAGAAATTAAGTCCTAAACCAGGGTATTTGTTTAAAAGATCAAATTCTTCTTTTCATGTTCTTATGTAAACAAAAATAACTAAAAAAAAAAAAAAAACAGAAACTATCACACATGCAGTTCCTGTGCTCAGATATAACAGTTCAAATGTGTGGCTGCCTTTTCCTACAATTCACACCATGTGCCTTCAGAACAGTAGTTAACGAGGGCCACTCTTTACTCCTACCACAGGTGTGTGTTCAGAATTTATCTTATTTGAGGCCTCATTTCATGTAACAGAATGCCATCAGTCTTCCTATTTGGGTGTTATAATACATCAGAAGTATTCTATAGATTACACCTGTCGAGTTCAAGTTCCAGAATGCACAGAGACCTGTGCACAGTAGCCAGTCATGGCACTATCTGATTTAAGTCTCCTAAAAAACAGGTCAATGATTAGCAGAAAAACGCAACATTTACTTTCTAGTAAAATGCAAATGCAAAGTATTCTATTTCCAATTAAGAAGCTCATCAGTGTATAGAATAACAAAGAAAATTTAACAAAAGGAACACAAAAAGAGATGCTGCATGTCTATTGCTTAAAATCACCCACCCAATACTGACTTCTTGCCTATATATTCGAAATTATAATCACAAATAATACTGTACCACTTTGCTGTATCCCCAGTATTTATCATTGAGAACGCAGGCTTAATATACTTTTAAAAATTGTAAGGTTTAGTAAGGTGGCTCAGTGGGTAAAGGCACTTGCTGCCAAACCTGACAATGATCTGAGTTTGAGCCCTGGGACTCACATGGTGGAAGGAGAGAACTGACTCTCAGTTTGTCCTATGACCACACACACACCTTTAGACTCTCTCTCTCTCTCTCTCTCTCTCTCTCTCTCTCTCTCTCTCTCTCTCTCTCTCTCTCTCTCACACACACACACACACACACACACACTTTTAATTGTTTAGTAAAATAAACATAACATGATTTAGCCTCCGAATGTGTGTGTGTTACATGCACATGAGTGTGTGGGTGCACATGTCTACCCCGAGGCAAGAAGAGAACGCCAGCTTTCTTCTATTACTCTCCTCATTATTTCCTTCAGACAGGGTCTCTCAGTAAACCTGAGGCTTACAGTTTTGGCTATAAATGAATGGTAAGTGAGCTTCAAGGATCTGTCTTTGTTTCCCAGTGCTGGATTACAGGCACACCTAGTCATTCTTGGGTTTTTAATGCAAGAGCTGGGAATTCAAACTCAGATCTTTATGCTTGCACAGCAACACTCTTATTTTACCAATATATATTCACAGAAAAAGTAAGGAAGTCGTATATGCCACTACATAACAGACAACAAAAAAATCAGTAGAATTTTGAGAAACGATTTCTGAAGAAATTTTTTTTCTGAAAATTCAAGTTATTATCAATAATCTATATTTCTTGAGAATAGCCAAACTCCAAAGTTTCTTTTGCTGATATCAAACTGATAGCAAAAACTGGATACTATGTGGAGAGGGCACTTGTGGACTAAAATATTGTTAGTTGCTTTACACATCTAGATTGTACTCAGCGAATCAATAGCAGAACTTAAGAGCCTTGGCACCCTTCTTTAATATTCCCTGTATAGGCAAACTCAAGGCATGACTGCATGATTATTTCCTGGGTTTCTACCATATGAAAAATTTAAACATAAGCTCTCGGATGGAATGAGAAGGAAATCTGGTATGACAGAAAAAGAAGTCATCATGGGTTGATGATATTTCAAGTACTCTCTGGGATAGAAAGTGGACTCAGTGCCTAGCATATGGGTGCACACCTGTAATCTTGTCCTTGAAAGTCTCAGGAAGGAGGCTAGTAAGTTCAATGCCAGAATGGACTACAAAAGACAGGAAAGGAGAGCGGGAAGGAGGGTTCTCTGAGGCTGACTGGCTTGAATGAAAATGTGAAACCTGAACTAAGTGGAGTCTATTCAGAGCATGACTGGAAGGTAAAGGTGACAATACTACAACAAGCATTGCCTTACTTGTCTTTCATGTTAGAAAGCTCAAAAAAAAATTATACGTGTTTACATAAACAGGAAGAATTAAAAATATGCTACCTCTAGAGGCAGGGTTGGGATCTCCATAAAAAGATACGGTTGGAAGCAAAATCTCATTTTAAAAAAATTTACTTTTTGAACACTGGGAAATAATTATCATTTAAAAGTAAAATCAAAGGACATTATTATTGGAAACATGAATCAATTTTAAGAATCATTAGGTAAATTAAATTATATGCCCACACTGGGGGAAGGTGCTGGATGATTTTGGCTCATCCAGGGGATGTAGAGTAGAAAGAAAAAGGTTTTGTTAGTATTTCTGAAGTAACAAGTAAAAAAATCCAGCAAGGAAGAAAATAATCTGAAATGGCAAAGAAGCTGGGATCCACTCAAGGAGATAAGGTTCTCAAAACTAAAGAGGTTTTTTTTTTGTTGTTTGTTTTGACACCAGGTAGGCCTGTTTGGTCTAGAACTAGCTCTGTAGACCAGGCTGGCCTTAAACTCATAGAGATCTGCCTGCCTCTGTCTCCCTAGTGCTGGGAATAAAGGTGTACTAGGAGACAAGAATTTTATTCTTCCTGTAGCTCCACAATTTCCTTCTTTTTTCTTAGCCTGTGAGCACTAACTAGCCTACAGGAGTCACATGGCAACTGAACTTTAGGATTAATGGATACTGAGGTTAAAACCACCACAAACCTTTACAAATATTTCCTTCCACAAACTTTCTAACAGAAATTCCTATTAAAACATTGAGATAGTAAGAAAATTATATTCTTGTACAAGATTCTTTCTTAATAGCAAACTACTTGTATAATAGAGCAGAGGAAGTTAGGTCTTTAAATCTTAATGGGTGTAGGACAAATTCAGGGACATCCTTATTCAGTTTCTTCCTCATGTTCAAGTATCTTCCAAACTGCATTCACAATTGAATACATACTAAATCAAGGGCACACATTCCTTAAGGTTTTGTCATAATCACCTATAATAGGAACTATAAACACTGTTAAGGTGAGCAGAGGGAACTGCTCTGCTCACCCTGATTCTCTGTAGACAGTGCTCCCATCCCTTTCCTGATTCTATGTAGACTGTGCTCCCACCCCTTTCCTGATTCTCTCTATGTAGACTGTGCTCCCACCCCTTCCTCGAGTCTCTTTATGTAACAGATAATAACCTATGTAAATAATAACCTGGAGAGAAGCAACAGCAGCAAAATACCCAGAATGCAGTTTTGTTCTAGTTAAGTGATCACTGACCAGCTCTTAGCTGTTAGACTTTCCTGTGTAGTAGTGTCATGAGAAACACTACAGCGTCTGCTTATTACATGTACTACATCTTTGGGAATACACCACTAAAGAGTACTGAAGGAATAACACAAGGATTCTTCTTCATATTGTTTAGGAGAAATGTAGGCCTTCTGCATCTCCACACACAGGATGAAATGCATTTCAATATTCCTAAAAAGTCCCTGTCAGGTGAGATCATGAAGCTATCACATGGTCTGGGGATGGAGGCAAGCATGGTACTCCTTCTGCTTCAGTGACACCAGGGTCACTTGTGAGCAGCTAAGATTTTATCCTTAGGATCCTAACACACTGCAACACACACAGATTTACCAGTTCTGATTAACATTCAAGAAAGGTGAGAATGCCTACAGACAGACTATTTGTTTACATTTCTGTCTACAGGGAATGAACTGCGGCACAATTTAGTTACCAACTGTCATGTCTTTAAAATACAATGTTTCTGAACTAAAGCTCACCTCTTACCTCCTCTTTCCACATAGCCCTCCTTACTAGCTAAGGAGAGAGCTCAAATTACAGTCAGGGCTGTGTCCAACAGAGCCCATTCATAAAAACTACTATCCTTTCTTAAAGGGGCGCTTCACCTTTTTATTTTGTATTTGAAACTGTTCCCATGAAACGGACTTTTCACTCAGAACTAAGGAGCTGCTCCACCAGCTTCCCTGTAGAGCTTCCTCGACACTTCTTCACTAGACGTGCAAGTCTCCACACAACCCCTCATCTTCACATTTTCCTGTGGGTCATGGCAGCTTCTAAGAACTGTTTTGTGCTGATTTCTTGAGTTTATTAGTGAAATTTCTATGTAAGCCCTGATCCCACAGAGTAGGATTTTCTTTTGTTGGTCTACAAGTTACTTATTTAACTGCTAATTAAATATGTACATTTGGCCTACAATTATTTCTTATCCATACTCTCCTGGAATTCTATCACGGGTACATATGACAAGTTGGTCCAGATTCACAGATGACAGCTGCAGTTTTAGGGGCACACAGTCTGGGGCTGGCAGGGCAGGCAGCCTTCAGCTTTGTGTCCATCAGATCAAAGAACAAAAGGCAGCGCTTCCTTCCCAGATCTTCCTTAGCACTAGAGGAAGGCAGGGTTGACACAAAGTCTCATCAAAAAGGAAGCCCTGCTGAAGCCAGTCAGAGTTCCCGGTAAGACACACCAGAAAGCTGACCCACCTTGGAGAGCTGCCGCCTCAGGCTAAAGCGCTGGACCATGGTCGTGAAGATCTCCTAACAAAGCGATCTACTCAGTAAGGGTATCTTTTTCTTCTTTTATTAAAACAGCTTCTTGGGCAAGTCTCTGGCGGCACATTTGAAGGCTGACAGAGTTCGATGGATTCCCCAGGAGTCTCAGCAAACTTGGAAGCACTTCATTGTTCTGCGGAGACAGCACAGCCTAGGAGCGGCAGGCGGGGCGGATCCCCAGCCCAGTGCCAGGCTCTCCCCGCACTTCCTGTGTCAGCTGGAGGGTCCAGCCGTAAGGACCACCCCTTCCCCTCCCGCCAACCTTCAGGCAGGGTGCCGGGTGCCACCTGAGCCTTGGGTCTTAGCTCTTGAGACCAAGGCTGGAGGTGGGTGGTGCGGCTGGTATCACAGCATCTGTTGCCCTGTCCTGGAGCTAGGGCTCAGCCTCCACCCAGGTAATCCCGGAGAACGGGGGTGGGGGTGGAGGAAAGAAAAGGAGGTGGGAGAGCCAGCCTCCACCGGCTCCAGCTCTAAACGGAAACTCCTCCCAGCTGACTCGCAGCTGTGTGGCTTTGTCTAGCATAATTGGCCGAGCCTTTCCTCTTATTCACGGGGAGGCTCCTGTGGGAAGGAATGTCAGGTGCAGGGAGCATACTTGGATGGTGACTTCAACTTCAGGCTCAAGTTAAAGGCTAGTGTGAATGTCCTCTTGTTCGAACAAAGTATTTTTAAAAACTGGCACACATACCAAACAGACCAGCTTACAGTGAATTAATACAGGTAAAGGGAAGTGGAAAGTGACAAGCTGCGGGGAGATCCAAAGATATTCTTCCTCTAGTGAGGAAGCCTCCTCTTCCAAATGAGGACAGAATTGTGGGCACCCACTGGTTTTGTGCTTGCCATGTCCTCCAATCTTGTGAGCAGGATTAGGTCCCACACTAGGTCTGCAGCCTTTGTTGGCCTGAACTCCAGATGTGCAATCAGAATTCACATCTGCTGTCCCACTGCCTTCTTCCATAGCCTCTCAAGTTTGTGCTAGTGTCAAGACTTTCCAGATAAATCAAGAACCTTCTCAAAACCTCATACAATTCTGAAGAAACTAAGTTATTATAGTCTTCAGGCAAGAAAAGTGAAAAATTAATTTGAAAACAAAAGGAAGTTTCTTGCAAGGCTCTTTCTTCTATTACTCCTGTCTTCCGCATTGCCTTTCAATTACCTAAAGATAGGATGCAAGATGCCTTTATCTCATCCTACACAGGGTCTTCGGAATCACTGAGAAGTCACATCAAATTCAAATAGCAGGCTCCCAAAGCTTATTGCACACAAGGTAAATATAAAACTACCCTTTAAAAACATAAACAGGCCGGGCGTTGGTGGCGCACGCCTTTAATCCCAGCACTCGGGAGGCAGAGCCAGGCGGATCTCTGTGAGTTCGAGGCCAGCCTGGGCTACCAAGTGAGTCCGAGGAAAGGCGCAAAGCTACACAGAGAAACCCTGTCTCGAAAAACCAAAAAACAAAAACAAAAAACAAAAAAAAAAAAAAACATAAACAGAAAAATGTTTGTATTGCTTAAACAACAGTAACAACAAAACTTTCAAAGTTTGAAAGCAACTACTTAGATCAACTGTGACTAAAAGTGAAAAATGGCTCATATTTATGGTACAGAGTACACAAATGTAACCTAATACTAAAACTAACAGATTAAAACATCAGTTCTCAATCTGTGAGTCTCAACTCCTTGGGGGTCGAATGACTTTTTCACAAGCATTGCTTAAGTCCATCAGAAAACACAGACATTTACATTATGATTCATAGCAGTAGCAAAATTACAGTTATGAAGTAACAATGAAAATAATTTTATGGTTAGGGGTCACCACAACATGAGGAACTGTATTCAAAAGTCACAGCACCAAGAAGGTTGAGATCCACTGGATTAAAACAATTTCAAGTATAAAGTTGGCCAACAGTGAACTTGAGCTTCTTGTTGTTGTTTTTAAAATGGTTAAGTGGAGGTGTCAGTACTACCATTTTCTTCTCACAGAAAATGAAATAAGAGTCTGAAGCTGAGCTTGGTGGTCACACCTGTAATCTCAACACTCAGGAGATGAAGCAGAGGATCATGAGTCTAAGGTCAATCAGGACTATACAGTGAGATTCTGTCTCAAAGGGAAAAAAAGGTGTGTGTGTGTTTGTGTGTGTGTGTGTGTGTGTGTGTGTGTGTGTGTGTGAGTGAGAGAGAGAGAGAGAGAGAGAGAGAGAGAGAGAGAGAGAGAGAGAGAGAGAGAGAGAAAATGAATCATATGTACATTCATGGTCAGGAAACACCGTAATCTAAAACCAAGTCCACATTATGGTTATAAGATTCTTTCCGTTCAAAAATAAAGAGAAATGGAAGCAGGAAAAAATGTCAAAAGACACCAGACAGTACACATTAAGTATCAGTCATGAACTGAGGAGGAGAGGAGGCCGGATGGAGACTTAGCTCAGCAGTAGAGCACCCAGCACTGAGTAGAACTGGGCTAATAAAAAGAGAGAAAGAATCACAATTGAACTGAAAGGAGTATAAACGCTTAACGTTCCAGAATGTAAGAGGATTTAGGTTAAATAGATCAAACCTGTTTGCCTTTCTTGTGGAAACTCATTCATTTGCCTAGTTAAATAAACAAAGTTTAATTATTTGATGTAACTAATTGTGTTAAAATATCATTATGAATGAATGTGAAATCCGGCCCTTAATCTAAAAAAATGATAATTTAAAACAGAAAACATCCTTAATTACCTAAGTCATTAGGGAAAAAATTATAATCTCTAAATGTGGCTTATTTTGAAGAATCGGGAAGCTTTTTTTGATGAATAGACAATAACAAAGGTAACAAAATAATGTAACAAAAGACAGAAACATAACCCAGACAAAAGTCCACAGCTTTATAATTTCTCTCTCACATTCTAGGAGTCAAATAACAATGCCTCTGTTTTTGTAGTTTATTCCAAAAACTCGGCAACACTTTACAAACTGAATGGAAAAAGACAAGGATCCTCCAAAGGGTCACAAAGATCACACACCCTTTGTGAACTGGTTAAAGACATGCACTCAGTTCCTGGAGCCACACACACATTAACTATGTGAATGACCATCACAGGATTTAAATACATTCCAAATGGTTCATAGACCTGGAAAAACACAGTCTCCATAACTAGAGCAGAGTTCCAGTCATGACTAACGAAGATGAACATAAGTCACTTAGCAATCTTGTTTTTAGCTTGTCTTGGACATTTTGCCTCCAATTCCCAATATTTTCCCCTTATTTGTCAAATAATCTACTTCTAAAGCTGGCAAATAGTCTTTTTGTACATTATCAGTTTGGCTGAAAAATCTTTTAGTTTTTTTTTTAATCATAGTGGGGAAAAAAGAGAATTATTCCTTTTGAATCAGTATCTTTAACACCACAGTAGAAAAGGTAACATATAACTTTTTTTTTCTATTCATGTATAAACATATAACAAAGTGAAACAAAAAAACTAGATGGGCATGGCACATGCCTTTAATCCCAGCATTTGAGAAGGCAGAGGCAGGCACATCTAGGTGAGTTCAAGGCTAACCTGGTCTACACAGCAGTTCAGGAACAGTTGAGAATTTGAATTTCCACATTGTAAGTAACAGGTGAGTTTAACTAAAGCCTGGCACATCTAAAGTACTTTAGCTATGGCTCTCTCACCTCTCTGGTAACCTGTCTTAGAACAGCTATTTGAAATAAACTGTATTCTTCTAGTAGAAGTAACTGCGGTCCCACTGTGGGTTTTAACCAGCTTTTTTTTTTTTTTTTGGTTTTTCCAGACAGGGTTTCTCTGTGTAGTTTTGCACCTTTCCTGGAACTCGCTTTGTAGAGCAGGTTGGCCTCGAACTCACAGAGATCCGCCTGTCTCTGCCTCCTGAGTGCTGGGATTAAAGGTGTGTGCCACCACCGCCCAGCTTAACCAGCTTTTATGGTAATCTAGTAGAAATAACTACCAATCAACCAATAAAGTTGTAAGAATTTAATAAGACTTCATTATTCAATACTCGTCATCATTTCAGAGCAAGCATTTCGGATACCAGACACATAGGAATGGAATGAAGCATATACCCTTTACGATCTGGGATGGAAATGGAGGACTTAAGAACACAGGAGGTATTACACAACAACAGTGCTACTATGGATAAGAGGCACGAAGAGTGATGAACTTTGGGATTAAAAAAAAGTCTATAAGTTTGAGTCTTCAAGCTTTTTTAAGAATTCTATAAATGAATGAAGAGCAAGAGCAGTCCATGAGACAGCTTATGCTGGCACAGTTTTGTAATCCCAGCACTAAGGAGACTGAAGAAGGAGGGTCAAGAGTTCAAGACCACTCTGGGCTATGTGAGACACGTTCTCAAAAAAGGGGAGGGGTACTCCACAAGAACAGATACAGAGGTGTGAAATGGGTTATAAGTATTTGTAGAATGGGAAGGTAAAAATGTCAATAAAATTTAGTTGCTAATTTTAAATTTGCAAATATATGTACTAACTTCTAAAAACGGTTGTAAAAGAAATATTATTCTTTATTGTTTGGCTTTCAAGCAAGAAAGGAGGAAATCAGCGCCCAGAAATCCTCATCAATAATACTGCCAGTTTTAGGGTTTCTTATGCAATTCGAGTTCTAAAGTGACACAGACTTTTGCTATATAAAAATAAATTTGCTGCAACAATCTCATAATAGGTGAGAGATAAGATACTTTATTTACCTGAAGTAAATTAACTTCTGTAGTTTGTACAAGGCCAAGCAATTGTCAGTGTAAAACAGCTCTGAAAGTCGCACAATTCATTAAGTAGTAAGAAGTTAAATTATGTTCATGGCCAACAAAACAAACAAACAAACAAACAAACAAAAAACCAAGTCTCTAATTCATTCTGTAGCTTACTAGCTATAACGGCTGACTTAAAGAGCAGCCACACTTGCCAGATGAAGCTTTCATGTTAGTGAGCTCTACATGCTCTTTAAGATACATTAAAACAGTATGCTATTTTTGTTTTTAATAAAAGCAATGTTTGATGCTGGGCACGGTAGAACATGCATTTACTCCCAGCACTGGGAGGCAGAGGCAGGCAGATCTCTGTGAGTTTGAGGCCAGCCTGGTCTAAATAGCAAGTTCCAGGACAACAAAGACTACATAGAGATACCTTGTCTCAAAAAAAAAAAAACAATAAAGTAAAATAAAATAAAAGTAATGCTTTAAAAGTTCTGTTTCTCCCCCCCAACCTCATGACATGCATTACTTGCTGTGAATGGATGAAAGGAAACAAGGGAGAAGCAGAAAGCAGTTTCATGAGACGCTGGTACAAGTGTGCATGTGTGCACATGTACATACAACACATACAATAATACATATTATATATATATAAGATATATATATATATATATATAAAAAACTCTAAAATTCCTAAAACACTGGAGTTTTCTCCTCTCTTATCCATCGGTCCTACCTGCAAACTCCCTGATCTTTCTACTTAAATTTTACATGTTCTTCTTTTCCACTGTAAGAATTAACTTTATTATTTTTGTCATTTATTTCCCATTTATAAATGGCTGTTTATGATTTAGTATTTTCCAATAAAACATGTTTATAAAAATTTAGAAAATATGTCAAGCTTGGTAGGGCACATGTTATATAACAGAACTCAAGAGGCTGATGCAGGAGGATCACTGCCTCTTTAAGACCAGCCTGGTTTACCTAGAGAGTTAGAAAACAGCAGCCTTCACTATAGAGTGAGAACCTATCTCAAAGAAAAGAACCAGTAAACAAATAAAACTCCACAAAATTTAGACAATCAGTACATAAAGAACAAGATAAACTCACTCATAAACCAATTAGAATATTGTAGTGATTTGATATATTTCCAATAGGGTTTTTTTTTTTTTTTTTTTTTTTTTGGTTTTTCGAGACAGGGTTTCTCTGTGTAGCTTTGCGCCTCTCCTGGAACTCACTTGGTAGCCCAGGCTGGCCTTGAACTCACAGAGATCCGCCTGGCTCTGCCTCCCGAGTGCTGGGATTAAAGGCGTGCGCCACCACCGCCCGGCCCAATAGGGTTTTTATTTTTTTAAATCTGTAATTAATTTTGAACATTTAATTGTTATAATTACTGTACTTCATACCATTTATCATGTATTATGAATTTGTATATGTATTATGAAATTGTACTTACAACATTACCTGTACAGCATTACCTGTAGTCACAGATTTTTTTGTGTACCTTTCTAACTCCCTTCTATCACACTGTTTAGCTCCATCCACTGGGTCTTCTAGTGTAGGCCAGGCTGACTAGCCCAGTCTTGGAACTCTGTACCCTCCGCCTCATCCTCCCAAATTCTGGGATTACAAACATGTAACTGGTTTAAAACCCTTTTTGAAAAAAAATCAGTGGGCTGGATCAACTGGGGAGAGGTTAGCCACAAGATAAAAAATTTCAGTTAGATAAGGAAATTCAAGAGATCTGTTATATAACATGGTACCTAAAGTTAATAACAATAATTATTTTTCTGTAAAACAAAAATTTTAATTTTGTTCTATTAAAATAGTAGCTGTGGTAATATCCATCTTAATAAGGTTATTTGAGCTACTCTACAATGTGTGTATTTCAAAACACCAATGTATAGGATAACATGTATAAATTTTGTCAATTAAAATATAAAATGCTGAAAATTAAAAATCCAATTTATTCTTACACCATTATTCTCAGTACATATGGTCTACATACACATTTTACATACACCATTTTCTACTGCTGCTAAGTATTCTCACAGCATGGGTAGAGGAGCCTTTCTGGCTACTCTGAATGACCTTTGGAGTATTCCCACACTTCTGCTAGTACAAACAATACTGCCTACACAAGCCTGCACGAGTGAGCTTTTCTTCAGGGCTGATACTGAGATAGGACCCTACTACAAGAACAAGAAGCCAGCCAATCTGTACCCAAACTATATATAGTCCTGTGTTGAGGACTGGGAGCACCTGAGGCTGCTTTAAAAGCAGAGTTGACTCAAATGCTTAAACATATCAACTCATCATTTTAATATAACTAAGGGTAATGGTCAGGGATCTGCTATCTAATGAGATTGAATCAACAAACCAGAAGGGTTCTAGGCAGACTCTGATCATGTTGAAGGCTAAAGTAAGGGCAATGGAATTGAACCACAAACTGAGAATTTCAGTCTCTCTCGTTCTTTTGGAACACAAGCATCCAGGCCCATCACAGCCTCCATTACCTACCACTCAAACACAAAGGTGAAGAGTTAGATGAAGGAAAAAAATAGAGAGAGGACCTACAGATACTGAAACCTGAGGGTTTCACAACAAAACAAAACAAACTGGCCTAATTATTCCATAACAAAAATCTACCAGTGTACAAGTCCTTGCAAAAAAGAATTTCCAACACCATCTTAAAGGCCTCTCAAGTATGAGAAGGAAACCAAGGTTGATCAGATATTTGAGACAGGTTTATAACATGAAAGACTAAAACATGGGGTAGGAGGGGAGACATACACATTACAGGAACCAAAAGAAAACATCCCTCAAAGTCAAAAGAAACAAATTTACAAAAAAAAAGTTTGCTTTAAAAATAGACAGAGCCAGGGGTAGTGGCACATATTTTTAATCCTGTACCCGGGAGGCAGAGGCAGGCAAATCTCTGAACTCCATTCCAGCCTGGTCTACACAGTGAGTTCCAGGACAGCCAGGGCTACACAGAGAAACCCTGTCTCAAAAAAAAAAAAGTCAGATGACCTCCCCCCTACCAAAACAATCACTTAAGAGATTAAAAAAAGTTGCCCTCTGATCTAAGCATGTGTACACACACATCAAATAAATAAATGTAGTTTTTGAAAAAGTCTATGGTGAAATTATTTCTAACCCACAATTCAACATTTAGCCAAATTAACAATAAGTGTGACAAAATACAGAAAATCAGAAGTTGTTTTAATTTCTGCCCTCTTTTTTTGTAAGCATTCTGGAGAATGTGCTTTGGTATAAACCAATGAAGGCAGAGTATGACATCAAGAAGATACGGATACTGTCATTTATTAACAGATTTAAAAATCTCAGGACAGGGGCTGGAGAGATGGCTCAGAGGTTAAGAACACTAGCTGATCTTCCAGAGGTCCTGAGTTCAATTCCCAGCAACCACATGGTGGCTCACAACCATCCATAATGAGATCTGGTGCCCTCTTCTGGTGTGCAGTCAGAACACTGTATAGACAATAAATAAATAAAATATTTAAAAAAAAAAAAATCTCAGGACAAAAGGTTGCACCAATCCTATAGTGAAATCAATTCAGACTATAGGAAAAGTGAGAACTTCCAGAAATACATTTTCATGAAAAACACAAAACCAAGAAGAGAGTAGGGTATTTTGAAACTACTGGGGAGATTTACAGGTTTTAGAATTTGGAAATAGCTAATAATTAAAACAAAATTTAAAGTAATAACTCCATGGACAGTGACAACTGCAGGAAAGGGGAAAAAATATATTCACATTGGCATGGCATTAACAGTACGCTGAGATTTCAAATTCAACTAAAACGTATGGAGAGGAAGAGATAAGAAGAGAGCTAACTTATCTTCAGTCAAATGAAAATAGCAACATGAGCAAAGTTCTTTAGATAAATCCCAAAACAAAGTTAAAGAAATAATAAGAATTTCTGAACAAAGCAGGGAGTGGGTCAGAGAAATTCTCATTTTAATTTCCAAAACTCTACAGGGGCTTAATTCTTTTTTTAAAAACTATTTTATAGTGATAAACAAATTAATGAAAATACACTTTCCCTGAAGTTAGATATGCTGAAGAAATACTTGTATGTGAGCATTCTGAAACCTAGATGGTAGTAAATAAGCCTGTGGAAATTTCTTCATAGAAAATAAAATAAAAACAATATATTCACATACAGAATATATGCATCATGTTCCTAGTGTTGACAAGCAAAGAAAGGATTTTTAACTAGTTGGCTTCACTAACCCTCTGAAATACTAAGGTGCATATGGAAACAAGCTTTAGCCTCTGGCTTCTACTGTTCCCGTGGAACAGAACCTGCACCACTGGTCTTAGGGGCACAGTTCAGTCTTCCTTTGTCAAAGCTTTCAGAGCCCCATCTGACTCTTTAAATGGTACTATGATAATACAGAACTATGATGCCACACACAATGAATGAGGCAACAAATTAGGATAAAGGAAAAAAAACCATCCATCAGTGTACAAATCTTAAAGAAAAGAGATAAAGATAATGTCTATAGAAAATGACTGCTCAAGCCCGGGTGGTAGTGGTGCATGCCTTTAATCTCAGCACTCAGGAGGTAGAGCCAGGTGGATCTCTGTGAGTTTGAGGCCAGCCTGGTCTACAGAGCGAGATCCAGGAAAGGCACCAAAACTACATGGAGAAACTCTGTCTCGAAAAATCAAAAGGGGATTAAAAAAAAAAAAAAAAAAAAAAAGAAAAGAAAATGACTGCTCAAAGCATTCAAAATTACATAAAAACAATGACTTTTGATCTTTTCCAATGAGTATCACTGCCTTTTACAAAGATTTTTTTTTCAGGGGAAGGGTTTTTTTTTTTTTTTCCCAATAGTACCTAATTTTTTCCTTACCTAATTTTCTTCCACTAAAGCAGTAAAAAAATGTATTACTTAGAAAGATACAGCAGATGTAACCTAACCCATATATCTAAATGAGCTAACTAACTTAATTTATTGGTTTTTGGTTTTATTTAATAAAACAAACGAGCTGCAAATCCTTGCTTGTAACAGTGAATATTATTATAAATTTGTGTGCCAATCTACAACTCTCTACTCTGGTGCAGCAAATTCCAGTGACATACAACCATGAGCAAAACACAAAGGGCACACATACCATCAGCAGCATGCAGATCCAGAGCAGGTGACACTGTGACCTACATTCTCCTCAGCTCTAATCGGCTTAGAGAACCCTTATGCCCAGGCTCACAAAGCTAACCTTCTGACACAGAAAACAGCACTAGCCTGCTCTCTTCTTTATGGTGAGAAACTGAAGCAAGTTCAGAGGACACCTTACAGCCCTTGAGGCATGCATTTCTAAATGGATCAACTAATCTAGCAAATATACGACATCTAAGGAAAATGGAAGATGGAGGAATATTTTATTAAGGAGAAATGTATTGTTATAGATAGCCACACTGACATAACAAACCTGTGTACATACCTGTCTTCTGTGCTCGGCATCACCACAAAATAGGACAGCCCTAGGGGGCAGGCTACGGTTTCTCTATGAAATGTTCCCTACAGGTTTATGCTCAGAATGTTTGCTGCCTGGCTGATG